CGTCAGTCTGCTCCAGGGCAGCTGTGGCTACAGTAGTAACTTACCACCGCTGATTGTTGACTGAATGAATAATGATCTGTAAAGCACTTTTGGGTGTAATGATTAATTATGACGATAAGCAGAACTGACCTCTCCAGAAGTAATTTAGCAACCAACACGTCAGTCTTTAGACCCTTTGTCTGCTTCAGTCACCTCATCTCTAGAAGGAATCTCCAGGAATCACATCACCTTAGTTTGACTCCGCTCCTTTTCCCCCTCTCTTCTTCTTTTAGGCTGCGTTCAGACTGCAGCCTGAAGTGACCCAAATCCGATTTTTTGGCCCCTATGTGACCTGTATCTGATCTTTTAATGACAGTCTGAACGACACAGATCAGATTTTTTCAAATGCGACCCAGGACACTTGGATATGTGCTCCTGAAACCGATACATATCTGATCTTTTGACATGCGACTTCAGTGTGAACTTCCAAAGCGCATCCATCCGACCTACACGTTATCAACAAGCCACAAATGTCACTATTCTGCGCTGAAGTAGGCGAAAATTGTTAATGAACTCCGTGTCACTGAAGCGAAGCACATCACCACTCACCACTCTTGGCTCCGTCTCCACATCCACACGTTCCTTTCAACGGACGTCGCTGCCGCTGTCCCACAAAACACCACGACCAAAAACCTCGTCCTTCTCCTTCTCAATCTCCTCCTTAAAACAAGTAAGTTGTTCATGTTCTGGCTCCGGTACAAGAGAAACTTTAAAATCTCCAGGTGCTCAATGCTCGCGTCCGTGTTTGGACAACTTCCGTAAACACAGAGCACGCTCGCTGCGGTTGACGTCATCGTGTCTCCAGTGCACATGCGGGACACTTTCGGGTCGTTTTACGTTCACACAGGGGATCACATACAAGTCGCATTTAATTGGAAATGTGAACGACCTCGCAAAAACATCGGATTTCACAAAAAAATCGGAATTGAGCGTTAAGCCCTGCAGTCTGAACGTAGCCTTAGTGACCTCAAAAATAGACTTTCTTTTGCGGCGAACTGATCGTGGATTCTTGTCTGCAATCGCGACGAACTTTGTGCTACATGTGAGGAAGCTACAGCGTGAAAGAAACGCTAAGAACCACTGCGCTGGTCGAGTAAACGGCGTCTTGCGTATGTGGAATGCGCGAGAGGCGTACGTAAAACATGTTATTCCAGTGCGCCAGGGAGTCACTTACGCTAGAAATGTGGAGAGTTTGATTGACAACCTAACAGCCAATAGATAATGAGGTAGGCTTGTTATCTATTGGCTAATGTTTATCTGGCCCCACCACATCCACAGCTGATGGATTTTCCTTCTCTATTTTTTAATTATTATTTTTTTGGTTGTCATAATTACAAGGCTGCTGCATCTAGGGCTGGGTATCATTAAGGAGTTGCCGATACGATACATACCTCGATACACAGGCCACGATACGATACATATCTCGATACAGTGCACTTTCGATTCGATATGATATATTTCAAATAGATTCAATACGGTTCAATAAAAAATAAAGGCTAAATCGTGGCTGTGATACTAAAAGTGTTTGTTAAACCACTTCTTATGCAAAGTTCATATGAAACACAAACATTTTAATCCTCAAAACAGTGAAAATGTCAAATGTGTCACATAAATGAGCTTCCTTTCACTCCACAAAACTGTAGCACTGTAACAAAATAATTTAGAAAAACACGCCTAATAATACTCTTGGTGACATATCGATACAGTAGCCCACGATATCGATACTGTATCATCACATTAAACGATACGATATATCGATATTCTGATATTTTTGCACACCCCTAGCTGCATCTCTATAATGGTATTTTGAACTTTCGTTGACAATTTGAAACAAAAAAATCAATCAAACTGCATACAATCTTTAACCTTAATAATGTTAGTACGGTGACATATTATCCTGTCTAAATGACGTTAGTGTGGTGAGATATTATCCTGTCTGTGGTGCAGGTGGTTCCTCTGTGATAATCACATTTACAGCCCTGTGTTTGCCTCAGCTGTTACCGGGTAAACGGATCAGACCTGGGCGATAACGTGGAGACACTTTCAGCTCTGTTGGAGACACAGGCTTTCGTTACACGCAGTATTTTTGCATTATTAAACCCCTGAGATCTTCTAGTTCAGGGGTAAATGCTAAAGACATTAGATAATAACTGCAGGTTCTTGAAATTCTGGTGAAATTAACCTTTGGAAACATGGAAATACATGTTTGACCTTTTATGGTTTGAAGTTTCTAACTTTATAGGCCTATGTTTTATATCCTTTAATCCCGTTCGTCAATTAATTTTATTTAGGTTATAAGGATTCATATGAAACATTAGCAGAAAGGAGGAGTTAGTGAGTGATTTTTGGTATTTTTTGGTATTTCTATGTAAAAAAAAATCTGATTAAACACACGATTCACAAGTTTAATCTGTGTTTATTCTGCATAAATGTTACTTTTGCATGAATTGCGAGTGCCGTTTGTTCAGTTGCACAGAGATACGTAATAGTTTTGAGAGCTCTGGCCCCTTTTTAGTCGACCAATCGATCTGCAGGACATGTCTTTAGTCAACCAAGAATTTCTTTAATCCTCTACAACTAGGGATGGGCCTGATTAATCGATTAATCGATAATTGATCATTAAGAATTTCATCTATTACGTTAATTTTAATCAACAAACTGAATGTAGGTTGTTGTGTGTAGTGTGACCAAACAGGGGTCCGTACATGTGTCTCTCTGCATCAGAAGGAGCGAGACACAAACAGTCGGTCAGTCTGCAACGTACCGAAGCACAAATGCGTATTTAACGATGACTTGTACAAGAAATTCCACGCTTTCCGTTGCGTGCGGGACAATTGAGAGTCGCGCAATGTTGATGACGAGTCCCCACCTCCCTCCCCCCGTACGGTGTCCTGGTTTTGACAAACGCAAATATGGTCACACTAACCTGTATTCCACTGAGTCGTGTCTTTTAATCCGACAGAAATTGACCGCATCAGCGACACAAGAGCTGTAGTTTTATCTTCGCTTAGTTTATGCAAATTAGCGATGCGGTTTTAAGTTTCGTTTCTGTGAGAGTTGCACAAAGCTGCATTAAACACATTATAATGTCAAACGGGCTGATGTGGCTCTAGAGTGATTACGGTTTATATGTCGTATAGTTGAATTTATTTATGCAGATTAGTAGTGCAGATAGTAATAATAATGATGATCATTTTAATATAAAAACGTTAATGATTAATCGATAATCGATCGTTAATTCTTCCGACGATCGATTAAGAAAATTTCATCAAATGCCCATCCCTATCTACAACTTTATAAAATTATATGTATGGTCAACAAACATACTTTTAAAATCATAACAGACTAACCCTGGTACCAGATGTTCCTGTCTCTGAGTTAAATCCTGACTCCTGCGTGTTGAGTATTTTCTGTTACTCTGAGTCTCTCGTGTCTGCAGTGTTTCTCAGGCGGTTGTGGACTCAGGGCTCTCACACTGTTGGTTTTCCTCTTGTCGGTTTTATAATAATCCCCCTGTGCTCCTCAGACCACTGTTTACTCAAGTGTGGCTCAGTAGCACAGTGTTTCTCTGCCTTTTACCAGTCACAGTGCACTTTCCTGCTTCAAAACACTCCACAGCTTCACCTATGAAAATATTAACCTTTTAGTACTAAACATAGACTTATACAAACTTTACTGATCCACAAGGGAAGTTATTTGGACGCAGTAGCTCACACATCACAATATAATATAATAACAAAGAGCAAAAACATAAATCGTAATAATAAATTCTAAATAAGTGCAATGTATACTGGGAAGTGTCCTCTGAAAAAGTGAGCATCAAACTGTCATGTTTGTTTTCCCAGTGGGATGCGTCTATTGACAAAGTCAGATCTTTTCAAGTCTTTTGAACCATATCACTTTTGTTTCTGGTTTTGATATTGTCATATTTTAGTTCTGGGATTCGAACATTGTAATTGTGTGGTTGTTGGATCCTAACAGCGGAAAACGGCTCGAGAAACGGGCTTTGGAAGATTGCGAACTTCGTAAATGCAAAAGGGAATCAGATGTGTGTGACTGCAAACCTCTGTTCAAACTGTTTCCCTTCCCAACAGAATAGAAAAATAGTGAAAGGTGAAGGCGATGGGCAGGATTGATCCACAGGAAGGACCAAAAAGGAAACCGTAAGAAATCATTCTGAGTTACAGTGAACATTTTGTATGTGGAGAGGTGCAGAAGACAAACAGACTGAGCTGCACTTTCTTGTTCTTGTGGTTTTACAGCAACATCACATCTTGGTCTCTTTGCAGTAGAAGGTGTTTCTTGGTGAACAGCTGGTGCCTTTTGCATTGGCGTTGACTTTTTAAATTTGTAATCAAGGTGGAGTGAGGGATCGGGGTTTTGCTTTGATGGCTCCACATACAAAATGTTCACTGCAAACTCGGGATGATCTCTTAGGCAGCCAAAGGTTTCCTTTTTTGTCCTTCCTGTGGATCAATCCTGCCCATCGCCTTCACCTTTCACTATTTTTCTATTCTGTTGGGAAGGGAAACAGTTTGAATGCACAGACCTGAGTCGCTTTTGCAGTTATGGACTTCACAAACTTCCGAAACCCGTTTTCCGCTGTTAGGATCCAACAACCACACAATTATGATGTCTGAATCCCATAACTAAAATATGACAATATCAGAACCAGAAACAAAAGCGATATGGTTCAAAAGACTTGAAAAGATCGACTTTGACAACAGACGCATCCCAATGGGAAAACAAACATGGCAGTTTGATGCTCACTTTTTCGGAGAATCCTTCCCAGTATGAATTATGTGATGACCGGAAGTCCGAAATTCGGGATGCATGTATAACAAATGATGAGTAAATATAGAGTGTGGTGTTTGTCTGTGCCAGTCTGGTCCTTTTGATTGTTTTTCTTTCTGTCTGGTGTCAGGTTCATGTGGACTTATGTCTCTGTTTGTTTTGTGCAGGTTGACCCATGACATCAGCCTGGACGAGTTTGAAGATGACGATCTGTCGGAGATCACAGAAATCACAGATGAAAGAGGGATGAGCCTCAACTGCAACGGGCCGGATCTGAAGGTGAGAAAGAGAGAAAAGCAAAGAGAAAAATCAAAAGAGAGAAATCAAAAGAGAGAGAGAGAGACTAGATCTGAAGGTGAGAGTGACAGGGGAGGAAGACGGGGACAGAGAGTTCAGACTTGAAGAGAGTGTCTTGCCTAAGGACACTGACAATTTAGGCTTAGACAAACTTCATTGATCCACACCGACTTTACACTAAAATAAGAGCAAAAACAAGTGTAGTCATAAAATGTGAAGGACTAAATAATTAAAGTACCTAAACAGCCTGTACAGATTTGTGTATGTACAGGAGAATACAGTAACATTTCAGAAATATAAAGTAGGGGTGTAAGAAAAAAAATAGTTTCTGTGATAAATCACAATTCTTGTATAGATTCAAAATGCATCCAATGCATCGACTTAGTTTTTAGTAGTATCGTACTACTCGAGACAGGTCTTGGTCTCGAGCCGGCATTTTTCTGGGCCTGGTCTCGTCTCAGACTCGACCGTGTTTGGACTCGGTCTTGTCACAGTCTTGAAGGCGCTTGGACTTGGTCTTGTCTCAGACTAAAGGTTTGACATTTGTCAAGTACGATCATATTTCATTACACCTGCTGCTGTCAGCAATAAACTTCTTACGACGACATGTGGCTAAAGTTTAACTTTAAAAAAAAGCACAAATGCATCTGTATTTGTCACAACGTGCGTTTGATAAATGTGCAGAGGTAAATCCCACTGCAAAACCACTAAGAGAATGTAACTCCAGTTAGAAACTTGAAAAAACAGGTTTTAAAAATCCTACACACTTCCTTCTTTCTTCTTCCTTTTTTCCACAGTTTTGTGTAAAGTGCCAGTGGAAGTTCTCTTAAAGGGAGGGGTTCTCACACTGTGAGTGAGGATCCAAAAAAAAGGGCGCAGTTTGCTAGACTTATTTTAAGACTAAGGTGATAATAAGAATAAGAGTGGTGCACAATTTTAGGTTTTCTGTACAGTTGTTCCAGAGCTCCACCCCTTTTCTTTTTGATAAACGTGGCCGTAATTCTGAGCTCATATTGGCTTTTTCAGATTTTGAACATATATAATATTCTGTAATTGTGTGTAAATGTGATTTTGACAAGAGATTGTTGTTTACTTTGAACATGATTTTCAAAGTGTAAAGGTCGACTAAATTTGAAGGTTTATAAATAATTCACTGGTTGGTTCATTATTAAGTTGATAATGTGTTTGCTCTTACTGCCTTTTTTTGCAAAGTAAAGATTGGACTTGTATTAGTTTTTTATGTATTACCCCAAATCTCAATACAGTAGGTTTTGTAGGGCATTACCAGACCAGATTGGACGTTCTGAAGGAGGTGTGGCCGTTTCTTACTGTAAAGCAAAATTATCTAAACCGTACATACATTTTTTATAAGCAGGTTGTCCACTCCTGGGTTAAATCTGGTGCATTCTGGGTAGCAAGTCTAAATAATTCAGCTGGAGTTGTTTTCTGAATGTCCCACTGCCCCGGGACAGCTCCAAAAACAGACAAGTGTTTTAGTCTTTGATGGCAGAGGAGAGCGCCGTAAAAAAATACCTCGAAAGCCCTGTTTTCTCCGTGCGTAAAAGCAGATATTTGTAAATAAAATGAGACTGCGCTTTAAAATTGAATCAGAACAACCAAACGTGACTCCCCATTTTCTGCGTTTCTATAGGCATGTTGTAGGACGATCCCAGACCTAATCTTATCTTTGTAAAACACTCATTCATTCTGACATGTAGGGATGCAACAATAACCGAAATATCGTGATATCGTATCGTCAAAAGTCTCTCAATAATATCGTGGGCTGTCACAATATATTGAATAACAAGTTCCTTTGCTTAAATACATGGTTTTATAGTAGCAACAGCTTATAAACGTCAGAAACTACATATCCCATGATTCATTTCAGTCCAGACAACATGAAGAAATATGTGTTTTACTTGAATTCTTGGGATTATGACGGAAATAATTCACACCAAAATCTTGCTGAGGTATGATGCAGCCTCTTTACACAGCAACTTACCTTCAGTTTGTCGATTAAAAATGTATATGATTGATGAAATTCTTAATGATCAATTATTGATTAGTCGACTAATCATAATAATAATAATAATAATGCATCAGTTTTATATAACGCTTTTTTGGACACTCAACGATGCTTTACAGCGCATTATTCATTCACTCCAGACCCACTGGTGGTAAGCTACTACTGTAGCCACAGCTGCCCTGGGGCAGACTAACGGAAGTGAAGCTGCCAATCTGCTCCATCAGCCCCTCCAACCACCACCATCACTCACACACATGCACCACTTTCATACTAGGCAGTAAGGATGAAGTGTCTTGCCTAAGGACACAACAACTGGTGACTGGCGCCCCCCTGTGGCACCTGATTTTCCCAGTGGTCTCCCATTCAAGTACTAACCAGTTTGACACCCCTATGCCAGGGGTGTCAAACTCATTTTAGTCCGGGGGCCGTATCCAACCTACTTTGATCCCAAAGGGGCCGGATCAGAAAACTCATGGCATATAAACCCCAAAAATAACAATGAGTTCAAATATTTGTGCAGAGAAACACAAATCTATTACAGAAATCTTTTTTAATTGATTAACTCTTTCTCATTATAATATTATAATATTATGAACAATCTGAAACTTTAAGAAAAATTCTATTTCAACACAATGTTTTAACATGAACTTATATGCAAATAGGAATAAGTACATTTTTCTTGGAAAATCCTGCACTCTGCTCCACTTTTCTTATTTTGGACATTTTGTTGATGAGGGTGTCACGGTCAACAGTTAAAACGATCGTCCTTTAAGAGCGTTTGGAAAGAGACAAGTCTTCATTTGTGCTGCTCTGGTGGGAGGGGCCACGTACAGAGACGCTGGAGACGCTGATATGATAAACACCACAGAAAATTACCAATATTTTAATAGAAAATATAATTAAAATATTTTAGTAGAAAATCACCCAAGGGCCACATTAAAGGTCTTGGGGGGCCGGATCTGGCCCCCGGGCCTTATGTTTGACACCTGTGGTCTATGCCAAGCTGGTACAGCCACATAATCATACTCATCCCTTTTAGATACTGTCAAATAATAAAATAAGATGTTACAAAGGTTTATTTCACAGTAAAGCTCTGTCCTGTGAAATCCTGTGGTTAAACCAAGACAGAGAGTATGATCACCGTGGTCCTGGGATGTGCTTCGGATTTATGTTTGTGTCAGAAATGTGCTCCCTCCGTAACCACGGTAACAGCAGTACAGTTTGATGATGTCGTTCGTTTTGGATCGAAGGGTCTTTCTCGCCTCCCACTGTTTGAGTTGTGAGTGGGCGATCCAGCGAGGAGGTTATAAGGCGGGTTTAGGTGTGAAAATGTGGAAATTTATGTAGTAAGAAATTCAGAAATATTTGTGTGTATAGGATAGAAATCCATGCATATTTGGCTGTTGTTCAGTTCTGGTTTAGTCCTGGTTCAGTCCTGGTTTAGTCCTAGATTAGTCCTAGTTCAGTCCTGGTCATTAAAGTCAGTCCTTAAATCTTGATAAAACTTTCTTAATTCAAGTCGTCTGAACTTGATTAGATTTTGTTTTTTGATGATTTAGCCATTATTTGATGATACCCAGAAATCCGTGTATCATTCATTCATTCGTTTTTCAATATAAAACCAAAAAAGAAAATGAAAAAACTATTATTTTCTTCATTATTTGTCTCCAAAACAAAAATTAAAAAATGGATAATGATTCACTTTTTCAGTTTTTGATTTTGTGTTTAAATGAATAATGAAAAAAAAAAAAACGATAACTGCAATGCCGGACTGAACCAGGACTAAACCAGAACTAAAACAGGACTAAACCAGGACTAAGCCAAGAATAAACCAGGACTAAAACAGGACTAAAACAGGACTGAACCAGGAGGACTAAACTAAACCGTTTTCAGTCCTGTCTGGTCCGAGTCTCAGTTCTGATCCTGTTCCCGGTCTCAATCCTGGTCTTGTCCCGGTCTAGTTCTGGTTTCAGTCCAGGTCTAAGTCCCGGTCTCAGTCCTTGTCCTGGTCCTGGTCTAGTCCTGGTTTCAGTCCCGGTCTCAGTCCCGGGCTCAGTCCTGGTCCTGGTCCCAGTCTGGTCCCAGTCTCAGTCTTGGTCTCAGTTCTGGTCTGGTCCTAATCTCAGTCCCGGTCTCAGTCCTGGTCCTGTTCCCGGTCTCAGTCCCCGTCTCAGTCCTGGGCCTGGTCCCGGTCTGGTCCGGGACTCAATCCTGGTCTGGTGCCGGTCTGGTCCCCCACCTGTTTTAGTCCTGATTCAGTCCTGGTTCAGTCCTGGTTCAGTCCTGGTTCAGTCCTGGTTCAGCCCTGGTTCAGTCCTGGTTCAGTCCTGGTTCAGCTCTGGTTCAGTCCTGGTTCAGTCCTGGTTCAGTCCTGGTTCAGTCCTGGTTCAGTCCTGGTTCAGTCCTGGTTCAGTCCTGGTTCAGTCCTGGTTCAGTCCTTCATCGCAGTTTAAGAAACAAATCATTATCTGTTTTTTCATTATTAGTTTTGGAGACAAATAATGAAGAAAATTGTTGTTTTTCCATTTTCTTATGTTTGGTTTTATTTTGAAAAACGAATCAACGAATGACACACCGTTTCCCAGACATAACGATAATCCTTTCATTGCACGATTATCTGTTTTTAGTGAAAGTTTTGTAAATCGATTAGTATTTTTTTATAACACATATAAACACGTCTGCCGCTCCAGCCCTCTACTGTAAATTATTATTATGTTTTTTTTTTTCATTTCTGTCAGTGTGGCCCTAATGGAGAGGTGTTGAAATATTAATAATCCCCCGGTTGGAGACGTCTCTTTTCTTTGTCTGGATCAGAGCCCGTCGCGTCCCGCAGAGAGGAGATTATTGCCCCGGGACGCGGCAGGAGGCCCCTGGTCCTGTCAATAATTCATAATAATCTGAGACATCACAGAGGGAGAGCGGGGCAGGTGTGAACGTGCCCGGGGCTTTTAGACTC